CAAGACACACTAGGAGACTTGGAAGAGGACTTGGCTGCATTCTGACTGCTTGCTCAGAAAGGACAGCTGTGTTTAACGAAATTCTAACAGAAAAACTAAAATACACAAAAATAAAACAGAAGTGATATCAAGAAGATCAGAATTAAATTTGCAGGTCCAGCTGGCTGTGAGTCTGATAACGTGGGAGGGCAGTGCAGTGTAAAGACAGGAGTTACTCTATATATATATATGTATTCATAGTACATATATATATATATATATTATTTTTTTTTAAAGCCCAAATCTGAATTTGCTTCACAGGACTGATTAATTCAGACAGAGTGGTACAATCCTGGATACAGTGTCCCAGCTTATCCATGTCCAGAGAGAAGAATTAAGTTGTGATGAAAAGGATACGGAAGTTTTATAAAGAAGGTTTTGTGTATATGTATTGAGATTAAGAGGGTAAGAACACAAAGAAAAAGGTGGGGTTTAATATGATGGGTTGAAGAAAGACTAGTTAGTCATCGTGACAAAGGGACCTCTGGAATGCTGCCAGTCATACAGGGCAGGACTGAACACGAATAACTCCACGTTACCTCTCCCTTTATTTTTTTTCTCACCCTGCCAGCATGCTTTTTGCTGGGGTATCCTGTGTTTAGAAACCACCACATTGCTAGAATGGTTCAGGCATGACTTTGGCCCATGACAGCTGATGATCTACTAAGCAATGCCCCAGCAGTGTGCAGGATGAAGCCTGGGCCAGGGGCTGTTCCCAACAGGCGGCTTGCAGGCAAACTGCTTTTAATCCTGCATATACATTCTATGCAGTGGTTATGTGAAGTAGTTCTCACTGCAAAGCAAGGAGAAGCAGTCCGCTACTGGTCATGGGAGAGAAATCCCTCTTTTCTGTAGATGAGAAACAAACCTTGCGTTCAGTTCACTCACATTTGCTGCATCACTTTTTGTCAAGGGGCAGAAAGTCAGATTTTACTTTTCACATCTTTCTGCCGAAAAATATCCTTGCAGAACTGTTAGTTTTCCCATTCTACTGTGTTTCTGCCAGATAGATAGATACCAAGTAATATTTCTTCTTTCAGCTCCAGAGGTGTGTTCTGGAAAGACATGAAGACACATGATCTTTCTGTGAATGTTTACAAGAAACAAACACAGGCTTTTTGTCGCTGCAAAGAGAACTACTTTTTGAATTTAAACTGTAAATTAATAATATAGAATGAAAGAAGAATGTTTATTAATTCTAGACTAGCAAGGTATTTTAATAGCTCTGTGGAAAAAAAAGCAGAGACGTGCCTGTTAAAATGAACCCTTTCACCTAAAAGAAGGATGCACTGGCCGAATTAAAACTGAGCGATTAAATTATTAACTTAATGCAAAGTGGCAGCTGCCTAATTGAATCTGGAGTTTTGCTGTGATTTTAACAGGGCAGGATTGTTCTCTGAAAGCCCTTAGTGTGTAAATGGAGGAGGGAGTATCTCCAAAGACAGTGAATTAGTTCAGCAGAAAACTGGTCTAGAGAAGACTGGCTTTGCTACGCTGAATCTCCGTCAGCTGAGCTCTCAGAGCTGCCTCACTGAAGGCTCTGACAAATGCTCCTACCAGCGGAAAATGGGACTACAAAGACATATCTAAATAGGCTTAAACTCTTGCAGAATGACACTGGGGACAAGCTTGCAATTAAAAACTGTGGGGACTCTCAAATTCTTGTCCCTGGAGTGTCTGTGTAAAACTTACTTAAACAGCAACTGCTGTCACAGTCCCTACTAACTCTGTAGCTTCACCATGTTTAAAGTGGCCTGACCTCTTCCTTTGTCCCAGTATCTCAGTCTTGCTGCAGTACAGGGCACTGATCTGCATTCAAAATAACTGGATTTTTTAAGTTCAGATTTAACACAGCTGTTTATTCTCCTCTGATCTCCTGGGTTGAAAGTGCTGGTTCAGGCTTTTCCTGCCAGCTCAAGGCAGGGACCAGAAGTGCAAAGGAGCCGCTGGTGCCAGCTCCCGTCAGCCAGCGTAGCTCTGGCAAAGCTGTAAAGCCAAGGGCCCAGCTGCATTGTGATGACCTAGCTACAAAAGTGTGATGCACACTAGTCAGTATTATATCTTTCCCATGTTAGTTTACCGCGTGGAGTTCTACAGTTAGGGCAAGACATCAATTATCTACATCACAAAAGCACTGTCTCTCACTCTCCTGTAAAGCTGGAAGTCCAGAAGGAACTAACAAGCTTTTTCTTAACTTTCCACCCTAGTTGGAGTCCTGATGTTCCAGCAAGTGCCCATGGTAGAGATCGATGGGATGAAGATGGTGCAGACCAGAGCCACCCTCAACTACACAGCAGGGAAATACAACCTCTATGGGAAAGATCTGAAGGAGAGAGCCCTGTACTGTAACACCTTCTTTCATTTAATGAGCAATCTGTTATTTGATAGCTGCATTACATGTAACAAATTAAATTCTGTAAATCCAGTAGAACGGTATGAGAAAGGCTAACACAATAACAAGCAAGGACTCTAGCCTTTGCTTAGGTTTTAACCACCGCTTCTGAAAAGCTGCTGAACAGAAACAGGCTTCTAGTCCTTTTAAAAAATATTTGTCTTCTGTTTATGCTTAGTTCTGGCTGTGAAAATTAGCACTACAGTGGTGATATACAATTCCTATAACTTGCCTTAGTTAACTGGAAAACAGATGAAACAACTCCTGTGCTCTTTTCTACTGTCTTCCTCCCACCAATAGGAATGACATGTATGTGGAAGGAATAACAGATCTGATGCAAATTATTATCGTGTTTCCTTTCTCTCCACCTGAGGCAAAGGAGAAAAATCTTGACTCAATTAAGAAGAGGGCAACTAACAGGTACTTCCCAGTCTTTGAAAAGGTAGGTAACAGTGAGGATGTGCCTATAAAACTTGTATTTACAATTATCAGAAAGCTTCCCCAAAATAAGAACATGTTTGTAGTGCACATAAGTTCCAAATCCTCAGCTCTCTTGGCTCTCTAAAACAAGGGGAAATACAGCAGCACATTTTCTCTGTGTGTTGGTTTGTATGGCCAGGGCTGTGGTATTTGAACATCTTCAAAGCAAACAAAGCAATATGTTCTCAGCTATACAGCAAAACTTTTCACTAAAGTAAAAGCAAGCATGTATATGGTAGTTTTTAAACTTGAGGGGGTAGTTCCACACTTATATTTGTTTAGAGCACATCTCTCTGCTCTACTTAATTTCAGTTTGAATGTTTTCATTTGAAGAATGCAAAAATCCTTTGCAAATAAATCAGGTAGAGAGGAGTGTTTCAGCGTAAAACATAGATTTCTCCACATCCCACTTTCAAAACCAGCAAACCAAACCTATCTGACTCAGACATCTGGCAACATTTCTCACTTTTGTCAAATTCGTCTAGTTTTGATGGAAAACAATAATAAAGGCTGAACATCCTACAAGTTCTTGTGACTATAAGAACTTATTCACAAAGGCAGGGATTTTCTTTGGCTAGCTATTGTAATTCTGCATTTCTAAGTTTGCTTGCTGGTATCAACATTGGACATAACTTTAAATGAAATATCTAAATGGCAATTTTATAAATGCTCCAAGTTACTCTTTAGTTCCTCTCTTATCCCTGTTTCTAGTTCTATGACTGTTCTAGTCTACTTCAGCGTGTGGTTTAGTCCATCTTCCCAGGGCCTGTCATTATTCTTAATTACCAAGAGACCAACGTTTGTAGTCCGTGTACTACAAGAGTTCAGATTTCTTCCCAACAGTAATGAAGTGATTTAGGCTCACAGCTTCCAGCTGAAAACTCCACCCTGAAATGTCACATGTAATCACTGTTCAGCTCTACAGCTGTGCTGTGAGGCTTAGCTGCCAGGCATCGTATGTCCCATTCTCATCTGCAGCCCACATTCTCTTGTATTCTGCAGGCTTTAAAACAACATGGCCAAGACTTTCTCGTGAGCAACAGATCCAGCTGGGCAGATGTTCAGCTAATTGAAGCCATTTTAGCAGTGGAGGAGAAAATGCCTGCTGTGCTGTCGGTGTTTCCTCAGTTGCAGGTAATTTTGCTCTTGAGCATGCCTGCATTCAGGAACTAGAGGGCAAACCTGAAGGGATCATCTCTCCACACTATGTAAATCAGGAGTGTGGGCTCTTTGAGGAACTGTCGCTATCCGTATGTTTGTTTAACATCACGCACAAGAGGTAATGGATTTACTTGGTTTGTGTGCTCCTGACTAAACCTGTTCAATATACCTGTCCCTCTTTGAGCGGTGTATGCCTCCTCAATAGAAATAAACTAGCCATCCCAAAGGAATCGCTGATCAAAGCTGCCCTGTTTTCATTTTCCTTCTTCCTGCCAGTAGATATTATCTAATACCAGACAACAGGTAAGTGTGTGATACAGGTTGACATGTTAGAATAAGGTACAGTGTGCCATTTTCTGTACTGTAATCTCACTTCACCTCTGCCTTCTACGGTATGGCTAACCCAAGCCTTAGCATTAAGCCACAGTTTTCTTTCAATAATCAACTTGATACAACTGAGGATTAATTTTCTGCCTTTGTACCATGTACAACGTCTGAAACCAAGAAGTGAGGCACTTCTGCAGCGAGATTTGACCAGAAATCAGAAGCCTCCAGGCATGCAGCATGCTGTAGAGCACAGTGCATGGGGAAGACTGGGAATGACCCGCAGTCATTAAGAGTTGGGATACTGTGGACTCGAAAAAAAAGCAGGTAGACAGTGTTCAGTACTCCTTCTGTGTGCCTGTAATCATGGTAATAAAGCAGTATAGGCAGCGCAAATTTGAGCTGAGGATTCCAGGCTTGAAGTTTGATGCTTCTTTGTGCTTGCAAACTGTTAATCTGATGGGTGCACTCAAAGGCTTTGGCTTTATTCACGTTAAGAAAAGAAACAATCCGGCATCAGACTATGACAGTTAGGTTTTTTGCTTGGAAATTATAAGGGATTTGAATTATTTTTTTTTTTTTTAATTTTTATTTTTACATCTTGACCCCAACAGTTTAAGCCTGAATTTAGTGTGACAGAATGAAGCACTTCAGCCACACAGTGGGCAATAATGCTTGTCAGACTTTAGCTCATATGCAGTTTTGCAGCCTCATAGCTCCCATCTTCTAAGAAGGTACCTTAGCCACTAGGCACGGGCACAGTTCTGTGGAAGCCATGCCTTGAATTATGGAGGGATTTCTTCACTGCCAGAAGGGAAAAAGTTTCTAAAATTGGCAGTTACTTATTTAATAGTTTTTACTTTTCTTTCTCTTGCTTGTGTTTCCCTTTTATCCTTCCAGTGCCTGTAAGAAAGAGGAAATTATGTTCATACATCTGACAGCAAGAACTGGCTGTCACTCCGTGAAGCTCCTCTCCCTTAGTCCCGTTGTTAGAAGAGGTTCTTACGTATCTAAGATTGCTCAGCTAATGGTGGGGTCTCCAGCTGCTTGCAATTTGCATCAGTGAGCCTTCTCTGACTGTCTGTACAATGAGATGTCTCAGGATTCTTGACTCGGTTGTCTTAACACAGGCATCTTTCACTGCCTGAGATGCCCAGCTCTTCACTAATCCTAGCCCTGGCTTCCAGCCACTGCTCCGGAAGGGAATAGGTCTCACTGAGGAGGTGTGTTATATCTGGCAGTCCTATGTAGATATTTTGGCTACCCTAAGGTACAACACAGTATGAGAATCCTCTACTGGACAACTTAGTTGAGCCAAGAATGCCTTCAGCCATTTAACTTTTACCCATTCAATCCTAGAAATGCTGGAATGGTGGGACAACAGTGGCCATGCTAGATGCAAACAGAGCTCAGATACTAAATAATGTAGTAAAAATGGAAATCATGTTAACATGTATCATGGTTTGCCCACACAGTAGTTTGCACCATCAGAACCAGCAATGAAAAGGAAAAGGTCGTGAGCTGCATTAGTGTATCTGTACCTTCAAAACTACCTCCTGGTGCTCCTGGATATTGAATTTTTGCCTTCAGTTTATTTCAAGCAGCAGAGATTTAGATATTGTCTCTTCCACTACTGCCTTCACTGGTAAGGACAGGTTTTTTGCAGCAGCTGGGTCCTTTTCCTGTTGGATGGGAAGATACTGTAAATGGCATGAGATCTGCATGAATGTTATCTGAATGAATGATCTCTTCTATCACCAGGGGGAAGCAGGTGTTCTATTTGCTACTGGAGCAGCTGGAATTTCTTTCCTACTCTGTTGTTTTTATTTTTCAGGCTTTTAAAATAAGGATGAGCAATATGCCTACAATTAAGAAGTTCCTGCAGCCTGGCAGGATCTATGAAGTGATGCCCGAAGACCGACCTGTTTGTGCGCCTTGTAGAGTGAGCCATTGTCTGTGCCAGTCCTACCGCTGTGTCCCTCTAAACGGCACACAGCCCACCCGTTGTAGATGCACACACTTTGCTGATCAGCACAGTGCAGCACCTGGATTTTCATGTAACGCTTGTAAGTTACTGATGGGCTTGCAGCACTCTTTGCTAGGAAACTGAACAGGAACAGCATATTAGGGAGCTGTATTCTGCCCGGAGTATTAGGTACGTGCTGCACTTGTCACTGATGTGCATTCTGGTCCTTGCAGAAGGGTGAGAAATGGAAAGGAAGACACCGCCTTTTGCACAGGAGGGTTTAGGACAACATCCTCAGCTTCTACAAGTTCTGTGAAGTAGTGTAAATTTCTGAATGATTCACATAGGTACACATGGAGGCAGCCACCTAAAGTTAGGCAGTATGAAAGAAAGCACACCATTTGCAGTTTGTCACTTCCACTGCTACATGCATGTGACTTTTTTACTTGAACTTGGTAGTTTGAGAGAGAGGTGTGTTGATCTCCATTCCTCTATTGCCTGGTTGAATATAATGTCAATGTATTTTTATATCTTTTCTCAACTCAATAGGAAGTAGTGCTCTGTTCCCAAATAGTACTATTGCTAACCCTCTAACAAAGCAGTTCCTCAGCATACAGATTATGGGTCCAGAAATGCAAATGGGCACGGAGCTTCAAGCAAAAGGTTTGAGAAGGCATTAAGAGGAAGCTTTTTTCTTCAGTTGTTCAAAGTTATTGCAATGAAACTGCAGTAATCCTTAACCATAGAAACTAAATAATGCATAAAGATGCTCTAGTTTGAAACCTCAAATTATGTAAGCTGAAGATTTTTTTGTTAGAGTTCTGTACTGTTAATAAATTTATTTCATGAAGTCTGTCTAATTTGTACAGCAAAAATCATAAACAACTTTTGCTGGATGAGAATCATATCCCACAGAATAAAACATAAAATATTTATATTACAGCCTTTCAAGAATTTGCTCTAAGTAATGGGGAGGTCTTAAATTTGCAATTGGATGATTCAGACTGAATACTTAGAACACAGTGTTTTTAGTAATCATTTATGTTGTGCACTTTTACTAGCGTTTCTTAAAAATACCTGACACTTCTGAGAGCTTCAAAGACGACACAGAGAAGTGCCAAGATTTGTTTGTATTTTGGACTTGTGTTGTTTTAATGTACTGGTATTAGTGTAGCCTCCTACTGTATAAATCTAATGTGATAGATAAATTAGAGACGTACTCTCTTTACAACTGAAAAAATATTGCTGTAGTACTTTATATTGTATATACTTTATTCTGTATCCAAACATAGAGTAAGAGCTCTATTACTGAGGAGTGCCCAAATTTATATGAAAAAGCCTTTAACACTGTAAGTTCAGCAAGGCCAAGTGGAAGATCCTGCATGTGAGTCAGGGCAATCCCAAG